GAGAAGTGAAGAGATGGCCCAAAGAAAATTGGGCAGCCTCCTGACGTAAACCTCTCCTAAAAGGTATTATCGAAGACAAGGAAAGCACTAAGCTCAAAAACCTTAGTGCTTAGAGGATTTGGAAAGATGAGCTACAGGATTGAGCTTATAAGTATGTCACTAAACCAAAGAGTCCCCCTAAAAGTGATCAAAATGAGAGAAGGAAGTGAAAGAGAAAGAAGCTTCCCACAACCCAAACAATATGTGACTCGATAGTTAGAGTAACGAAAGGGTCAAAAGAAAGCCGACTAAGGATGACTCCACCCGAGTGACCAAGAGTAAGAGAATCAACGTCTATTATGACCTGACTTCACTGTACGAGATGGTAGTTAGAGTAGCAGACAGAGAGTTAGAACTCTAGAGTGCTATCTCTGGGCAAGTCCAAGTCGAGTGCTCATGAAGTAAAAGATCCAACAAGCAAAGAGAGAGAATGAGAGAGGAGCGGATAGGGGTAGGTGACGGGAGAGGGGCGGATTGGGTTAGGTGACAAGAGAGGAGCGGATAAGGTTAGGTGATGAGAGAGGGGCAGATAAGAGCGGATAGAATTAGGATGGATGAAGGCACGGTTGGAGGTGCAGGATGGATGAAGGCATGGATGGGGGATGTGTAAGAAGGGAGAAGCCACGGATGAAGATGAGTAAGACAGATGGAGGCACGGAGAGAAGCAAACAGAGAGGTGCAAGGCGTGCAATGACGGATGGAGGTGTGCAATACAACTAGGGGAGTGGGTGGAGGTGTGCAAGATAACTAGGGGCGGATAAGACGGACAAGGGCACGGACAAAGAATATGTAGGACAAGTTAAGGATGGAGAGTGAGGAGATAGGAGTGTGCTGGACCCGCCCTAGGCGTGGGTCCAGAAGCTTGGATGCGAGAGAGAGAGAGAGAGGGCTTGGACCCACCCTAAGTTCGAGAGAGAGAGAGTGAGAGGAGAGAGAAAGAAAGAAGAGAGAGAGAGGAGAGAGAAAGAAAGAAGAGAGAGTGAGAGAAGGGAAAGAACGAGAGCAGAGAAAAAGGGAAGAGAAAGAAAGAAGAGAGAAGAGAAAAAAAGAGATAAGAGAGAGGGAGAAGAGAGAGAGAGAGGACCTAGGATGGGCTTGACTCTAGGTGCACATCCATTGGTCTCCTTGCATGCATATGAGAGAGAGAGGCTAGGCTTAGTGTATTGTATTTAAGCAGGTAGGGTTAAGGCGTGGAGTGGGAGCTTAAGGAGTATAGAATAGGTTAAGGTTCATTGGGGACAATGGTGTATGGTATAGAGAATGGTGTAGGGGATAGGCTAAGGTGTATGGTCCTCTAGAGTGTATGGTGTAGGGTGAGGTGGAGGGGATAAGCTACGGTGTATGGTGCTCTAAGTTGAGGAGTAAGGTCTATGGGTTAGGACTAGGAGTTAGGGGTTCTAGGGATGTTTGGAAGCTAAGAATCTTAGACAAAATGGGGTTGGGAATTGGAAATCCTAAGGTGGTTGGAATTTTGGGGTTCTAGGGAGTGTAGGGTTCTAGGGGTATTTTCTCTCTCTAAGAAATGTTTCTCTCTCCTCTCATCTTTAACCTTGAACTTGAAACCAAAGTAAAAGAACAAGCCAAAACCTTAATTTCAAGAGCTTCCAAGAAGAAATTTCTTTAAGAATTCAAGAGCTCACTCCAAATGTTCAATAGTTCTATTATAAATGACTTGGGTTTCTTTATATAGAGCAACCATTAAACAAGGGTGGAATGCTTAAAAACACCCAAAATTGTCAAAAAATATATATTTTATGAATTAAAATATTAATCCTGTTTTTTGACCAACCGATTAAAATACCCCTAGGCACTTTTCAACAAATGATAAAACCATTCCTCCATGAGGGACCTCTTGCCATTTCTAGGCCTCGAGAGTTTTTCAAACGCTTATGGTGGTAATTCGGGTGATTAATCATCGTAGAATCGATCTTGAAATTTTGCGCATGTTTTGATACCATTTGATCATCTTGCAACGGCCCAAAATGGGCCAAGTTCTATAAACTTGTGATTCTTCGACCACCAATCCGGCACGATCTATGATGTTTCAAGCTTTCATATTGATCACAAAACAAAGGGGATTCTATTATAATCATTTTGCAATAAATTTCGTCTATTTTAGTCACGTTTATGCATATTCCATTTTTTAGAAGTCGCCAAAAAATAGGATTTCCACAACCAAAAGAATATCTCATATTCAACTTCAAAATTCATGTCACCCGACCTTCGATCATAGACGAAAATATTATCAAAGTGTAGCTCTTCAAAGCACGGTCGCAATGGACCCATACTTGCGACAGTCCGACACAAGGATCTTGACTTATGGCCTCTCAAAGAATTGGATGTTCTTCGTTTATAAAATCTAAATTTTTATATTTCGAGTCCATATTCTTTCTAGAACTTCTCTCGTTTTGGGCCACACCATGACGCGTACCATATGTAAAAAATGATCGGATCATCGAGATCTAGCTCGCACCTGAATTTGAGCTTAATTGGACTCAAAACAAGTGACTTATGATTATTTGAAAATCATCTCGAAATGGAAAAACACTATAGAAACTGGTTCACCGAGGCTGCACCACAATAGTGTAAAACCGACAATTTTATGGTAAGTTAGTCCCATAATGGTCCCGAAGAGTCTGATTGAACCAAAATTTGGTAGTTGGTGTTTTTCTGACATTTTGGATCCAATGGTGATACTCTGGTACTGTTTTAAGACAGAAAAAAATAGGGTTGTAGTTATAGGGTCAATTTTCAGCATTATAGGAACTAAATTTGAAAACTAAGTTTCGTTCTAATCATATCAAAGCTTACCAGAAAGTGACGAAACATTGTGGGTGTCCTTAGGGAATCCAAAAATACACTCTCATGAAATTTTAGGAAATTCTGCCACTTCTTTAAATGTCGCTCACTTTTAAGCTTTTTGCTATAGTGTTCTCGTCGTTTGACGGTATCTTGAGCACCAGCGGGACCAGGTTACTACTGACTCTCTCTTTATTCGCTTCAGGGATACAAGTACATAAAAAATAATATACAACAAAATCCTAGTCTGCCATTCTTTTTTATTAAAGGTCATACCTTCAATGAGGCCATAGGTCTCCATATCTTTTTGGACTATTTCCAACCACGTCCTTTTGGGCACCTTTTTCAGTCCTTCCACTTAACTAACTTGTACCTCCTAACAAGTGTTGTACTTGGTCGGTACCACACATGGCCTACCTAAGTCTACTCTCTCTCGTCTTATCGCCTATTTTGCCACACCTAAATTCTCCCGAATGGATTTATTTTGAATTCTATACCTTCTTATCGTGCTACTTATCCATCTCAACATCATCATCTCAACTACACTCATTCTAGGGGTATATTGTTGTTTGTATGCCCAACATTTTTCTCTATAAAGCAAAGCTAGGTTAACAGTTGTCCTATAGAACTTGCCCTTCATCTTCATTGGTTTGTGGTGTTCACATAAAATTCTAATTGCACATCTCCACATCACCCACCCAGCTTTAATTTTGTATGCGACATCTTCCTCAATCTCTCTATTTTCTTGAATTATCGACCCAAGATATCGAAAGTGTGGTTTTTTGTATTTCCTAGCCGTCAATCTTAACTATATCCTCTCTCTACTCCTATTATTACTAAACTTGTATTCCATATAGTCTGTCTTAGTCCAACTAATTTTAAAACCTTTGGATTCTAGGGTACACCTCCAAATTTCTATCTTTGTGTTGATGTCATTTCAGGTCTCATCCATCCAAACTATGTCATTTGCGAACAACATGCACTTCAATACCTCATCCTATAGGTGCCTAGTTAGGTTGTTTATAATTAAGACAAAGAGGTAAGGGCTCAATACTGACCCTTGATGTAGACCGATTGTCACTAAAAACTCATTTGTCTTTCCACTAGTTGTTCGTACACTAGTTAGCGTTCCATCGTACATATCTCTCACCAATCGATGTAGCGTCTGATGACGTCCTTCTTTTCTAATGCCCGCCAAATCAAATCTCGGGGTACTTTATCATAAGCTTACTCTATATCAATAACCATCATGTAGAGGGCTTTTCCCTTTGCCCTAAACTTCTCAATCAGTTACCTAAGTAGGAAAATAACCTCAGCTGTTGATCTTCCGGACATAAAACCAAATTAGTTTTCAGATACAGTTGTTTCATGACCTAGCCATTGCTCAATTACTCTCTCCCAGAGCTTTATAGTACGGCTTATAAGGTTGATCACACGACTGTTCGCACAATTCTGTATGTCTCTTTTGTTATTGTAAATAGGTACTACAATACTTTTTTCCTATTCGTCTCGCATATTCTTTCTTCACAACACCTTGTTGAACAGCTTCGTCAGCCAGTCAATGTTAATCTCCCACATGCACTTCGAAACCTCTATCAGGATACCATCTGGTCTTAAAGCCTTTCCTATCTTTATCATTTTCAAAGCTTCTTTCACTTTTGACATAATAATCCTACGAATATATCTATGACATCTGCCCTCATTTGTACCAACATTTCCTTCTACCGTTATATTTCCATTGTGTTTATCATTTAATAATTTTTTAAAATAAACTCTCCATCTTTAGCTATATTCCCATTGTGTTCTATTAACTATATTCCAAAAGAAAGAAAGAAAAAAGAAGAAGAAAGAAGCTATATTTTCTTTTACTTGTTGAACATGTAAGTATTTCATTACTAATCTATATACTTCAAACCCTTGAAAGACCTCAAATTGTCCCCACAATTTTCTTTCCGCATCAACTTAAAAAATTTAAGTAACGATTGACAGCATTTGATCAAAGTATTAAACTATACCTTTTTCATTACTAAACACAAAACTCATTGATCTCAAAATGATTTTGGGCAACCATGAATAAGGACATGGCCTTATTTCATGTAATTGTACACAAGATGTCATGATACAATACAATTAAATGGTACATTTTCATTTTCCTGGTCCAGGAAAGGATATGTTGAGATGCCATGGACAAGGCGAAGATGCATGGTGGAACCAGGTTTTGCAGAGATGTGCATACTGTTGCATGAGGAGTATTTGAAATCCACCAAGATAGTTATTGGAACGGCCGCGAGTGTTACAGATGGAGAAGTCATTCTCGAGAACCGGGAGTCCGTTAGCTACGATTATCTGGTTATAGCCACTGGTAGCACCTTTGAGGGCCCAACAACAAGAGAAGGAAGGATTCAACAGTACGAAGCTGGTAAGTCTATCTATCTTCTTTCTCCTTTGCTTTGCTTTTTGTCTATATAGTTTTTTCCCAATTTATTTTGGACATGATTTTTATGAGTCCTAGGACTTGTAGGTATGTAGATATGCAACCCCTCTTCAAAATCTATTTTTAAGATAGATTTTGAAACCTAATTTTTTAGGTATGTATCATCTCTAACATGTAGAACATGAATGTGTAAAAAATTAAAGAAATTTTAAAAAGTAAAGGGAAAAGTTTATATAAGATTGCAACCTTAAAATGTGGAACTACGGATGCACCTCAAAAATCCATCAGTAAAGGTTGTTTCAATATTGAAAAACCCTCTAACTAATCATCTAGACATCAAGATGTATGATTATGAGAAACAAAAAAAGATTTTAAGTCCTAGAAATGATGTATTTAACAACACATTATGTAGACGGTCCATTTTCAAGATTTTCATATGTTTATTGATCTACTTGATTTTAATCATTTTTGGAGTTGAAAATTTTATAATTAGATTTGAAAATAAAATTTGAGATAATCTTAGTAGTATTTTACATCAAAATTATATGTTATGATAAAATTTGAAGGTGTACCTTAAATAGATTGTTAAGGTTGCGACATGATGGAAACCACACCCAAAAGTAAAAGTGATAATTTTAAAGGATTGTATACAATGAGACTATATATACTTATTGTACAAGGACGTCACAATTGCTTATAAACACAGGATGTGTGATACTTATTGTACAAGGACGTCACAATTGCTTATAACCACAAGATGTGAAATTTGATAGCTTGTGTGTCACAAAGTTCGAGAAATTTACTTTAAACTTTGTGCTTGGTCAATAGAATAAATGCAATCACCCAATTTCATATTCAAAAGTCAAAATTAATTGTGATCACCTTGTAGGAAAGGTAAATGGTCTTATTGTATGCTTTTCCTTATTCTAAACAAATTTCAAATCATTAATTTTATGTATTTTTTTTCTTTTTTTTACCCAATTTCATATTCAAAATCCCAAATTAATTGTGATCACCTTATAGGAAAGGTAAATGGTCTTATTGTATACTTTTCCTTATTCTAAACAAATTTCAAATCATTAATTTTTCCTTTTCTTTTTTCTTTTATTTATTTATTTTTTTTTTTTTTTTTGAGAGACTCCAACTCCACATGACATGCCTCTCGGGATGCTAATATAACCATGCTGCCCCCCGACGCATAAACTATTTTACCTTTCGTTTTTCTTTCAATATTAACTTGGGATTTGAGAAGAATAGAACTCTAGAAGTCAAGTATGCCGCCTGGTGCCCTAAGCACCTTTGCCCTCAAACTTTGTAGTTATGGATGAAAATATAAACTTAAAAATAAATAAATAATTGATTACCCATGAGAGAGAGGCTCAATGTTCATTACGGTTTGCTTGGTGAGAACGTACAGCATGCTCAACAGCGTACTCTAGATTTACCGACAATGAAAGAGGTACTAAAGAAGGTGCTTTTTGGGTGTGGTTTGTCTAAGGCTGAGGCTCTAAACCATCGAAGTAAAATGCACTCCAAATAGTGTCGAAAGATGTTTATTAGTATTAGAAATCTTGGTAAAATCCTTGAAATTCAATTTTATCTCTAATTATAAAATTTGAAGCTTCAAAATTAGTGTAGATCGAGCCAATCTATGACTACTTGGAAATCTTGAAAATTAATAGTCCAGATAATGCATTACAATTTACAACATAGACTATTTCCAGGATTTGAAATCTATTTTTTCTTATATCCATACATCTTTAGGTCAAGATGATCGATTTGAGGATTTTTAGGCATCAAAACACTCTCTTCTAGTGAATTTTTTAGGTGTGCCTTAATTTGAATGTTTGGGGCCTCACCTTTATATATAATTTTTCCTTTTTATTTATTTATTTTGATCCAACTATTTTTAAAATTAAAAATAACTTAGATTGTGACTTTTGGAAAAGTATACAATGAGACCATTTACCTTTTAGTACAAGGTGGTGGCAATTAATCTAGACTATTGGATGTGAAATTGGATGGCTGTATTTATTGCATTGACCAAGCTCAAAGTTCATAAGGAATTTTTTCGTACTGTGTGAAATACTCAAGCTATCAGATTTTACATTGGATGGTTATAAATAATTGTGACTTCCTTATACTAATGGTAAATGATATCATTGTATACAATCCCGTGACTTCTTCAACAATTAGATGTGCTCATTAACAATTGGATAGTTTACATTTTTTCAAGCACATGTGAAATACCTTTGATGATGATTATTATTAACATCATCGTCGTCGTCATCATTATTATCATCATGATGTAAGTTGCTAGGTTGATTGAAGAGGTTATATCCCATCATATGAGAGCCTAACAGCACTACTAACTGGAATTTACCCGAAAGTATGAAAGGAGGAAATGCTCAAGTAGAAGCATAAGTTATTGAATTTTTTCTGGATTAATGGTAAACGAATACGAGTCCCCTTCACATGGTAATAATCTCAACCACGAAGTAAAAGGAAAAGAAAAAGAGCTTAAACTTCAAAATAGATTGGTTTAAATGGATTGAAATGAAAGTAGTTACAGATGTGGTCCGAAAGCAAAATTTAGAGTACTCTATTTTTAAGATTTAAATTTGATGTTTTTAAGAATATGATCCTTGTAATCGAGATTATCGGTCTTGATACAAAAAGGCATGTCTAAGACAGATTTCAGAAGCAGATCGCAGTTGAATAGAGTATAAGACTAGGATGCTACCAAACATAAGAAGTTTATATCATGAAATGCATCAATTCAACTAATTGATTTGTACGTTACCATTAAAAAAAAAAAAAACTAATTGATTTGCTTTATTAATGTCAATGTGCACCAACCAAGATTGCAAGACGATTAGAAACGCCGGGACGATTCTGATAATCGGGGGAGGGCCAGCAGGCTTGGAGCTGGCTGGTGAGTTATCAGTGGATTTCCCACAGAAGAACTTAATCATTGTCCATGGGGGGGTGAGGCTGATTGACTTCTTGGGCCTCAAGGCCTCGAAAAAGGCTTTGGAGTGGCTGAACAAGAGGGGGGTAAATGTATACTTTGAGGAAAGGATAACAGAGGATGGCCTCCCAGGACCAGAGGATGAGGGTGATGGGTTATACACCATGTCTAGCGGGAAGACAGTCACCGCGGATTGCCATTTCTTGTGCACAGGAAAGAAGATCAATTCGTCCTGGCTAAAAGGAACGGCCTTCGAAGACTCTTTGGATGAGAGAGGGTTCCTCAAGGTTGATAGATCTCTGATGCTTGAAGGCCATCCTAATGTCTTTGCAGTTGGTTATATAACAAACATGAAGGTAATACACATGAAATTAAAGAAACCTCAACAAGAAAGAAAAAGAATACACACACCTGAAATTAAAGAGATTTTTATATGCGATTTGTTTCCCCTGTTCTAATTTTCTGTGGAAAAAATGGTACCAGGAAATGAGGCAGGGGTTGCTAGCACAAAAGCATGCTGAGGTGGTGGCAGAAAACATAAGGAAGCTTTCAAAGGGCAGCAACAAGATCATCACTTATAAACCTGGCCCCCCAATAGGCATGGTCTCACTAGGTCGGAGCCTTGCGATTGCGCAAATGCCATGGGGCACCATGCTTGGCCGCCTCCCTGGCATGCTCAAGTCCAAGGACTTGTATGTGGGCAAGACTAGAAAGGCACTTGGCTTCAAATCTTAAATCCCAAAATAAATACTTTTCTTATTCTTCATTACTGCTGTTATTACTCTGCACATTTTTACCACCCTAACCATTGCTATGTCTCACTTATCATAGGCATTGCATGGCGTGTGCCATTAATGGGGAGTGTAAGTTCCTGTACACACCACAGTAAGAAATGTATCTCTCTCTCACACAATGATTACAAGGAATAGTTATCAGTGGAACATGTACACATAATAGAGAAAAATATGCACTAATTCAAACATGGGCTCCATTGATTAGAAAATTTTAACTCTCACATCCCCCTAGCAGGAAGCATTGCTATGAACTTCGTTTCGCTCCAAGTGTGGTAGTGATAAATGAAGGTCACGAGATAGCTATGAGATTTGCATGATCGGTTGTTCTAGGTTGTTTATTGTCAAATCTGAGAAGATCTCGAGATGAAACCTATCTTGATTTATGCTTCAGATTAATCAATTAAAATTTTGATAGAGAATAGTGGGATTTGTCGAATTATAATAAATGAAAAGATGGATTTGTATAAACACACCAACCCATATACGGTAGCAACTCATACACTTCACCTATCCATACACCATACTTGAAGAATTTTAGAGAAAGAAAAGAACTCTTCGAGAAAATAATTGCGCCCCATACTCTTCTTGTGGTGGTTTTTTCATTGTATATATAATGATAATACAATGGTGTAATATCTATTTTCCTATCTTGTTACATACATTATACACTTCATATCTTGTTACATACATTATATATTTTCCTATCTTATTACATTCTCCTCTCGAAAGGAAAGAGCAATACACTTTCCTATCTTGTTTTAATTTTGTTTCTATTACTCCCCCTCAAACTCGGCTAATGAGGCATTTGAAGCTCGAGTTTGAAGCAAAGATCTCGAAAAACATCTCGTGGCAAAGGCTTGGTGAAGATATCAACTACTTGATGGCGAGAAGAAACACTCGAGTGATAAATATTCCAAGTTCAACCCTTTCACACACAAAATGATAGTCTAACTCAATGTGCTTTGTCCAAGCATGAAAAAACAACATAAATTGTCATGTATAGCACTGAAATTGTCACAAAAAAAGTGTTGGTGGCTAATAAAGAGGCACCCCAATATCCCGAAGAATAAAAGAAAGCCATATCAATTTTGCACCAGTGGATATCATAAATATGTATTATGCTTCAACATTTGAACAAGCCACAGTCTATTATTTCTTAACACTCCAAGATATGTAGTTGGAACTAAGATAGGTACAAAAATTATTGTGTGTGGAAGCATTAAACCATATGGGTTGATTTTTGACAAATAAAATACGAGAAATAAATCATGAAATACACATGTCACAAGAATACAAAGATTTACATGGTTTACCCCAAGAAGGGTTACATCCACGAGTATGACAAACTGAAATCCAATATACCGATGAACATTACATCAAAGATTTTGGGACATAGAGTTATCTCTCTAAACCTTCGACAAAACCCAATCGAGCAAACCCTTTTAAACCACTCTCCCTTCATTCTCGTTACTTTTGGCATCCATTACAGATAACACTAAATAGAGACACGATAGCAACGAAAAACTGATTTTCTCTCTAACTAAAAAGGGAAGCCACCCAAAATCTTCATGAGAACCGCTTCTCTATAAGAAACAAGCGTCTCAATCTCCAGAGTGTACAAAAAGCACCATCACAATGTTTCTCTCTATCGGAAGATCTCTTCTCTCTAAGCGGAAACTTTACATCTTCTGAATAGGAGGCCCTGCCCCCCTTTCTCTCTTCAGAGAAATTCACCTTTCCCATATGGTGACCTAAATAGGACACACCAATTCTCTGTACTTTCATCACATTTATATAAGATTAGAAATCCACACTAAATAGGAAACTTCCTATAGATGTTACATATATTTCAAAAACCAAGCTAATCTTTTTAGTTTTGTATTTCCTTTAGGAAACTAATATCAATCTCAATCTTAATCCCACATAATTTGGGATTTTCTTATGTGGGTGATTTTGGATAGCATCAAATCCAATATAAACCAGTGGTTGAACAATAAGTGTTTGGACGCTCGATGCAGTCTGCGTCAAAGAAAGCATATAACTCAAGAGAATTATCAGATTAGATGCTTCTACTATAGGACTATGTACCACTACGATAACGAAGAATCGGCTTCACTGATTGAAAATGTGTAATTGTAGTGGCATGCATAATTTGACACACTGTATTAACACTATAGGAAATATCAGGTCGTGTTATGGTAATGTATTTAAGTGCAGCAACAAATTCTTCGATAAAGGGATGGATCAGAAAATGGATCAGAATTCTCATGAATATTATTTTTCATTGTCACTGGTATTGAAATAGGTTTGGTACTGAATATCTGAGCATGATCAAGAAGATCCCGAGCATATTTGCTTTGCGATAGAAAATTTACACCTGAAAAATAAGATACGTCAATGCCAAGAAAGTAGTGAAGAGTTCCAAGATCTTTCAGTGCAAATTCCCTTTCAAGTTAAGAAATGAACAATTCTAGAATATCTGAACTATAACCAGTAGTAATAATATCATCAACATAAAGGAGAAGGATAATAGTACCTTGAGTATTGCGAAAAACAAATGGAAATGAACAAACTATGCTGCAATAAAATCCCAATGATAATAAAAAGGTATTACATCGATCAAACCAGATCTGTAGTGCTTGCTTAAGACCATATAAAGCTCTTTTTAATTTACAGATGTGATTTGGATATTTTGAGCTCACAAATCCATGAAGTCGTTCTATAAATATAGGTTCCTTAAGAAAGCTATGTAGGCAAACATTTTTCACATCTAACTATTAGACCAGTGGCACACAAATAGTTGTCGTAAACACAATCCGAATATCTATAGGCTAAATAACAAGGCTGAATGTTTTAGAGATATCAATTCTAGCAACCTGAATGTGTCATTTAGCAACTAGTCTGGCTTTAAGTCTTTCTAGACTACCATCATACTTTAATTTAGTCATATAGACCCAATGACAACCAACAGTATTCATACTTGGAAGATATGGAGCTAACTCGCAAGTTAAGTTAACATGTACGACTTCAATTTTCCCTTCCATCACACAATTCCAACCTGACTGACTAAAGGCAGACCTAATGGTTTTATGTTCAGAAGGGATAGCTTCAAAAGTAGGAGCACTTGATATTGTTGTCATGGATGGGAGAATCTGAAGTCTTCGAGTACCATCTTGAGATCTTGTGACCACGTGATGACGAGAATGTTCAAAGGCTGGTAAAAAAATTAGATTGGTTGGTTTATTGAGTGACAACATTTTCATTACCATGATTGTGTGTGGCATCATCCTGAACATCTTGGATTCATGTTGCAGTGGTGACATCTTCTTCTATAAGAGCAGTTAAAGAGCTATCATGGTGATGGGCAAAGCATGAGCTGAGGGACTAGATACATCAAGGGAATCCCATATAGGTGGTTTATATGCAGGTGATGAATCTGAAGAAGAGTGAGTATATGTATCAGGCTCATAACACTTTGACCATTTTGCATAGGTGAACAAGTCCCCTTGAACCTGAGCACTATCAAATAAAGAATTAGAGTTAGCATAAGGGTATATATTTTCATCAAATATAACAAGTTTAGAGATATAGCCTCGTCCTGTGTGTGGATGCAGACATCTCTAACTCTTATGCTGAATATTGTAACAAAAAATATAAATGGAAGAGAACGAGAACAAAATTTGTCTGTAGCATAGTTTCGAAGGAGCGAAAAACACCGACAACCAAAAAACCAGGTTGAAGAATTGTCTGATAAGCAGCCAAACAACAAAGAATATCCATTTGCAAACTAGCCGAGGCAATATTGTTTATATGACTGCAACATGAAAATATTCAACCCAAAACTGTTTAGGAGTTCCTGCATGAAACATCATTGTAAGACTCAATTCTACAATATTTCTATGTTTCCTTTCAACTTTTCTATTTTGTTCAGGGGTTCACGCACATGATATTAGCTGCACAATTTCACTCTCAGTAAGATGAGCAGTGAAACATTTCTTAACAAACTCACCAACTCCATCACATTGAAACATTCGAATTCGTTTCTCAAATCTCCTTTCAACCATACGATGAAATTCGACAAATGCAAATAAAATTCAGATGTTCTTTTCAAAGGATAAATCTAAGAAAAACGAGTGTAATCATCCACAAACACCACTTAAAATCGTTAAAATCGATAACTTCAATTAGATAAAACTAAAGCATGACTACATAAATTTCAATGAATCTTAAAAAGAGGTTATGTAGAGGTACTATTAGTACTACTAAATAGGAGTTTAAAACGTTTTCCCATATTACAACTAGCACAAACAGAATATGATTTATTTCATGCATCACCATTAATCAACTGCTTAAATTCTAAGTGTCGGACTACTTATTTTGATGATGTATGAGTCATTGATGTCACATATCTTCTGATGTTCTCTTACTCCTATTAGAAAATAAAGCTTTATTCACATCTTCAAGTGCATAAAGTCCACCCTTTCTACTCCCGCTGGTTAGAGTTCTCCCCTGAGCTCAATTTCCTAATCCGAAAACCATTAAATGAGAATTAAAAAATACAAGGAAAATATTTTGTAAACTGGCTAACAGACAGTAATTTTTTCCATTTTTGGTGCCAAAAGAACATTAAAAATATTAAATTTTCTAGACACAACATCAATATTTGTATTACCAACATGTGAAATAATCAATTACTCACTATTGCCAACCATGACTATATCTCTACCACTATAAGGGCGAAGGTTTTGCAGTTTACTTGGGTTTCATGTCATATGAGTTAAGGCACCAACGTCTGGGACCCATTTTAAGTCTTGGGAATTTGTTATAGTAGCTGCAGCAACAGCTTAAAGAATTCCATTTTCTTAGTACATATAATTAAATCAATGCTAATAATTTAATGCAGTATGTCCAAATTTTTTACAAATTTGACACTTTCCTTGGGGTGTCTGAGTTGATTGTTGTATATGCGAATCGTGTTGGAAACTTTGATTCACGTGTTGCATAGGTGTACCACTGCTTTCTTGATTTCTTTGTGCCACACCATGTTATCTTCGATCTAATCCACGCCCTCGAGAATTGAAAAACTATTGACGACTAAAATTGTGTATGCCTCTACCTCTATAATTTATAATACTGCTGTTAGGTCCAAAATTTATTTGTTGTCCAGTAAGGGCCATATT